TGTCAAACAGGAATGCAAATGGTTAAAATTGGCAGCGTCCTATCAAATTCTGTACCTGTCAACAGTGGTGTCCCCCAAGGCAGTGTTCTAGGACCAACTCTTTTCATACTCTACATAAATGACCTCTGTGATCATATCAAGAGCAACTGCTTTCTCTTCGCTGATGATGTAAAGCTGTTTAACATCACAGACAATACTGCTACCCTTCAAAAAGACCTTGACTGTGTATCAGAATGGTCAAACAAATGGCAACTTCAAATCTCAACAAATAAATGCTCTGTCCTACATATTGGCAAAAAAAGTCAGAAAATAAAATACAGGCTGAATAGTCAAGACCTTGTTGATGATCCAAACTCTGCCAAGGATCTTGGAGTACTCATCTCAAATGACCTAAGTGCTAGAGCCCACTGTAACTATATAGCCAAAAAGGCATTAAGAGTTGTTAACCTAATTTTACGTAACTTTTTCTCTGGTAATATTACACTAATAACTAGAGGGCGTGTATAAGGGGCGTGCATAAGCGCACCAACGTGCCTACCGTCCCTGTCCTATTGTTTCTCTTATTCTTTTATTTTTCTTATATGTACCCATTTCATGTATTCACAACTATGTATACATTTATACTTATTATCTTGTAAACAATTGGCAAATCAAATAAATAAATAAATAAATAAATAAATAAATAGAGCATACAAAACATTTGCTAGACCAATACTCGAATACAGCTCATCAGTCTGGAACCCACATTATGTATCTGATATTAACACAGTTGAGAAAGTCCAGAAATATTTCACAAGAGTTCTCCACTCCTCTACTTGTTGCAGAATACCTTACACCACCAGACTCGAAATTCTAGACCTAGAAAACCTAGAACTACACCGCCTTCGGTCCGATCTAAGTATAGTATATAAAATCATACATTGCAATGTCCTACCTGTCAATGAATACTTCAGCTTCAGCCATAACAACAGTAGAGCAAACAATAGATACAAACTCAAGGTTAATCGCACCAAATTTGATTGCAGGAAATACGACTTCAGCAATAGAGTGGTCAATGTCTGGAATACTCTACCGGACTCTGTGGTTTTTTTCCCCAAACCCCAAAAACTTTAACCTTAGACTGCCTACTATTGACCTCACCCCTTTCCTAAGAGGTCTGTAGGGGGCGTGCATCAGCGCACCAACGTGCCTACCATCCCTGTCCTATTATTTATTTTATTTTATTTTTATTTTTTTCTTATTTGTATCCATGTATTCATAACTATGTTTTTACTTATACCTATTATCTTGTAAGCAATTGAGAAATAAAAATAAATAGATAAATAAAAATAAAATAAATTTAAGTCCTTAGCTTTGTAAATGCTGAAGTTCATAGTATGTGCAGTAAGTACTTCTTTACATTTCCTGTGCAATAGGTAATACTCTGCTAATAAAATAAAGTTAAAATTATTGGCTTATAATGCATGAGCTCCAGTGCACATCTTGGAAGATCCCTTTAAGTCAGGGATCCCCAACCTTTTCGACACCGCGGCCCGGTTCCGGCATCAGCTGGGCGCCGCGGCCCGGTACCGGAGTCAACTGGGCGCCGCCATCTTTTTATGACGAAAAGGCGCTTCCGGTGACGTCACCGGAAGCGCTGTTTCGTCAAAAAAGATGGCGGCGCCAG